GTAATACTTTGGAAACTTTAATAAATATCTTTTAAAAAAAAAGATTAAGCAAAGCCTTGGGGTTGAGGGAAGGAGTGGCTGGCAGATGTGTGTTAACTTTATTGGGTGAGCTGTTGCAATAATTTCCATTGTTGGTGTTAAAGGAGTGGTGTCCTGCATGAGTAACTGATATTTCCTCCCTAACTTTTCAGTCTCGTTGGCCAAATACTTTCTTCCTCTCAACTAGGACAATGTAAAACTTGTGCAGTCACAGATACCTGGTTCGGATTCAAATGACACTTGTCAGTGATGTTCAGTATTAATAAGCAGCGAAGACTGGGAAGACACCAAGAAGGCCAATTTATTATATTTATAACATCACTCACGACATGTCCCAGACTCCCCAAGGAAGCTAACAACAGGATAAAAGCTATTCATAACACCAGTTAAATATCAAGCACAGGAGCCAGTAAAATTACGAGGAAAAACGACCAAAAGAGGAAGAGGACAGCATAAAAGCCAACCGGCAATGAGGCCAAAGGCCTGACAAAACCGATGGTGCAATGCCATAAAGGAGGAGCAACATCCTGGGGCAAGGAGTTCCATAGGTGAAAAGGTGCTTTCTAACATTCCTGCCAATTACCAGAAAGGTGTAACAAGTATGCAGGAGAACTTCCATAGCTGGCCTTAGTAGAGGGGCAGGTTGTATTGGAGAAGAAAATCCTTTAGGTATCCTGGTCCCAATTCATACAGGGATTTAAAGCTAACAAGCTTGTTTCTTTTAATATTTAACACTGTACTGTTTTTAACACTTGATTGGGAGCCGCCCAGAGTGGCTGGGGAAACTCAGCCAGATGGGCAGGGTATAAATAATAAATCATTATTATATTATTATCTAGAAAACTTTCGGGATTGGTTCCTAAACCAAGCAGTGCTTAAAACCCTAGCAGTTGTGTTTTGCTTGCAGAAGTTGGCAGCTTCCATCCATGTGTTGATGTCGACCTGTCTTGATTTGACTTAAGACGTATGTGAGTCTAGAAAAGAGCTGCTATCGATCAATGTAGACAATACGCAGCTAGACGGAACAATGGTCGGACTCTGTATAAGGTAACTTCCTATGTTCCTAGGTGTTTTGGGTCCCACCCATATTTTACAGTGGTGCCCCGCAAGACGAATGCCTCGCAAGACGGAAAACCCGCTAGACGAAAGGGTTTTCCGTTTTGGAGGTGCTTCGCAAAACGAATTTCCTGTGGGCTTGCTTCGCAAGATGAAAATGTCTTGCGAGTTCCTGCAGGTTTTTTCCCCTCCCCCCCCTTTCCCAAGCCGCTAAGCCGCTTAACAGCTGATCCGCTAAGCCCGCTAAGCCGCTAATAGCGCTAAGCCGCTAATGGGCTTGCTTCGCAAGACGAAAAAACCGCAAGACGAAGCGACTCACGAAACGGATTCTTTTCGTCTTGCGAGGCACCACTGTATATGATATCAGGAGGCATTCTTGGCCTATAGATACATCTTCAACAAACCATGTAGGTACCACCTCATGGGAGTCAGTTGGAGGGTTGCAATTTAGTTATTTTTTTCCCTCCTGTAGCTCTTAATACCGAACATTTCCTTTAACTAGTTCCTCACAAGCCCTCAAGCTCAGCTTTATATTTTTAAATAATATTATAGGGGTTTTTTTTCCATATAGAAAGCGAATTTGTTACTCGACAATTACATTCCGATTCAAGAAAACTAGTGACTTCCCGCTCACGCAACATTGATGTTTATAACCTGAATTACATAGAATTGTGTTTTAAGGTTCCATTTTACCTAATTTCATCTTCTCAAGCACGTTTCTTAATATATTCTGCTATTTTCTCACACTTCAAACCCTGCTGTGGTCTTCATACATGGGAAATAACTTTTGATATAGACTAGAAAGGGTTTCCAGTCCTCTTTAAAAGGTTCTAAATTTGTATCTTTTATCAGCGCCGTCAACTTTGCCATCTCTGGATATTCCAAGATTTTCATCAAACATTCTTCCTTGGAGGGTGTTCTCTCCTCCCATTTCTCAGCATAGAGGATCCTTGCCACTGTAGTCACATACATAAATACCGTCAAAGCTTCCTTTGGGAGTTCATTCTGGATACCATTCAAGCCTTGCAGTAATAATAATAATAATAAGGACTTCCGGGTTGGCGCGATCTGGGAATGGCGGATTCCCTCCGAGCTCCGGAGGGAATCGGCTCAGCGGTGGATGGGTCTTTGCCGTGCCGGCGACACGGGGACCCTTAAAAACCGCAGGCGCGGATGCCTGCGGACTGAAGACTCGGCGGGTGCCTTAAGCGCCCCCCCTGATTCGCGAAGAGCCTTTTTAAAGGCTATGGAGGGGATACGGGGGACGGCGCGGCACTGAGAGTCGATCGCTACCGCCGCTGAGCGAAGCCGCGAGCCATAACTGGAGAGCGCTGACTTCCTTCCTTGAAATTTGGACTGGAAAAAAAGAACCCGTGAGTAATCTGGAACTGAACTTTAAAAAATTTTTACCTTCTGAATTTGAGACGACCGGGGGGTGTGCCAAAAGGAAGTCCCCACCCCCCCCTTGCAGACGATCCAGAGCAACGATATAAGAGCTAAGCTGGAGTGCCTACCCTGCAAAGGGTGAGTTTTAAAAAGACAGTAACTTCCAAGATTTGGAAAGGCAAATTTGAGCAGGAGAGTGGAGTGTTGGAAGAGTCTTTGTTTTGTGGTAAACAACCCTCCCTCCCGGGCCCGGGAGTGACCTGCTTTGGAGCCTGTATAGAGGAGCAGAATTTGACAGCTGTCAAAGCTGTCAAATGGACTGTTAAAAATTGCTATTTAAGACCTCTCCGGATTAAAAGGAGTTACAATTGAATTAAAATTGTGGGAAACAAAGAAACAATAACAGGACAGAGGATTGTTGGAGAAAAGTCCATTAAGTAATCAGATTCCCTCTAGGGGGAATTCTGTGGAACTACAATGGCTGTGGGTGGAAAGATACTGAGAGAAATCGAAAGGATGTTTTCACTGGTGGGAACCTTACAGGAGCAGACTACAGTTATGAGTAAACAATTGATGACCTTGAATTTGGAAACAAGTAGTTCTGCTGAATGTAATGAAGACCTGAGTGAGAAAGAACCCACAGCTGAATTCGAAATAATAAACAAAGAAGAGGAGAAGACAAAACATGAAAGAGAACAAGTTATGTGGGAAAATACTAACCAGAAGCCGGCATTTGGAGAACACAAGCAAGGAGACTATTGGATTAACTCCATTTTAAGCCTACGAAAGATACAGAAGACGAAAGAGGAAGCCCTGGAAGTCTATGGAATTCAGGAGCTTGAAATAAAGAAGTACAATTGGGGCCTCCATATAGACTTTGATTTTGACTATCACCAAGACTTAGGCCTTGCGGAAATTCCTCAGCAGTTGTTTCTAAATATGGGAAGAGACTATGGACTGATTGGATTGATTGTTAAGGAAATCTTTCGAGACTCGATGACCGACAAAAAGGACTACCAACAAAACCGGCGGAGAGGGACTGAAAGAGAGTTGAGAGCTTCGGACGTGCGGAACCCAGGCTAAAAAATGTTATTTTGGACATGTCTTGGGAAAGGACGCAAAGCGGGAATGGGAGGGAGGGAAGCATTTAAATTTAAACAACACTCAAGACCAGGGGGTTTAGTTAATAAGAAAATTATTCAAGAAAAAATGAGAAATCGAGGGAAGAGAATTGGGGTCCAACTTAGGGAAAATTTATTTTTGTTTTTATAAAAGGATTAATATCAAGACGGAGAAGGAAATGCCAACTTGCTGACATAAACTTGGGAATAGGGATGCAAGGGAGGGGTGGGGGGAAGTCAAGGACTAGGGTTAGAAATAAGATTTTCGGGAACTATACATGTTTGTTGTCTTTTATGTTTGTTTTGATGTTATGTGTTGTGTTTTTGTCTATATAAAATGTGAAAACCCAATAAAAATATTTAAATAATAATAATAATAATAATAATAATAAGTGCTTTTTTCTTTAAAAAATGTTTAGGGGTGCTCTCATTTTCCTACTCCTATTGAAATACTGCCCCTCAATGAGGCCAAACTTAGATTTACAAAAATGTTTAGGAGTATGCGTACCCCTGTGTCGTCCCCCAAGAAAAAATGCACTGATAATAATAATAATAATTCATCTGCATATCAGAGCCAGTGTGTATCTTGGGAGCACTGCACATAGAGAGCTTTCCTAGTTCATCTGGGCCTGCTGTAATTTTCAGTGGAATCGGTTCACACATTCCCTTGCCATTCGTCAAATGGATAACCACTTGATTTCTTACTTGCATGTGTGAACCAGACCTGTACACACCTGGGAGACACCCCAGGGACGGGTATATTATTGGTGGTTTGCCAATGTTAACTTGTTGTTGTTGTTGTTTAGTCGTTTAGTCGTGTCCGACTCTTCGTGACACCATGGACCAGAGCACGCCAGGCACCTCTGTCCTCCACTACCTCCTGCAGTTTGGTCAAACTCATGTTGGTAACCTCGAAAACACTATCCAACCATCTCGTCCTCTGTCACCCCCTTCTCCTTGTGCCCTCCATCTTTCCCAGCATCAGGGTCTTCTCCAGGGAGTCTTCTCTTCTCATGAGGTGGCCAAAGTACTGGAGCCTCAGCTTCAGGATCTGTCCTTCCAGTGAGCACTCAGGGCTGATTTCCTTAAGAATGGAGAGGTTTGGTCTTCTTGCAGCCCATGGGACTCTCAAGAGTCTTCTCCAGCACCATAATTCAAAAGCATCAATTCTTCGGCGATCAGCCTTCTTTATGGTCCAGCTCTCACTTCCATACATCACTACTGGGAAAACCATGGCTTTAACTATACGGACCTTTGTTGGCAAGATGACGTCTCTACTTCTCAAGATGCTGTCTAGGCCTGTCATTGCCCTTACAGCAATGTTAACTTACAGCAGGGAAATAGCTGTTGCTGGTTCTACTCTGTTTAAGGCCATAACTTATTTCTTCTACCCTTCAGCCTGACTGGGAAGGAAGCGCTAACTCAGTTTCCTCTGCTGGGGCCCTCGACCAACCCTGCCCACTGGAAGGCTCACCTGAAGCAATGCGACCTGCTCCGCTTATCCCGTAAGCAGAAAAGGCTTTGCCGTCGAGAGCCAGGCCTGGCTGAGACCCTACGGGATGCCATCCGTCTCGGGGTTGTGGAATGCCAGTATCAGTTTCGCAACGAGCGCTGGAATTGCAGTCTGGACGGGCGAGCCGACCTTCTGAAACGAGGTACGAGTGCCTGCTTGTTGGTCAGCTTCCGAAAATTGGAGTGGGGAGAAAAATCTAGGCTTTCTCCGTTTGGGTCTTCCCCCTTCTCCTCACCCCCCAACGCCATCATGGAAGAAAGAAAAGCAAACCAGGGTAGAGGTTCTAAGGTTTGCACTTCTGAACACCTTACGGCCAGAGTCAATCAAGTGATAATGTCGAACGCCCTGTGAAAACCTTTGTCAGGCTTGTTCGCTACTCTGAGCAACTTAGGTACCTGCTGTTGTTAAAAAACAGTTGCTTATTTGTTGCGTTTCTATCCTACTTTTTATTTCGGGACGCGGGTGGCGCTGTGGGTTAAACCACAGGGCCTAGGGGTTGCCGATCAGAAGGTCGGCGGTTTGAATCCCCGCGATGGGGTGAGCTCCCATTGCTTGGTCCCTGCTCCTGCCAACCTAGCAGTTCGAAAGCACATCAACTACAAGTAGATAAATAGGTACCACTCCAGCGGGAAGGTAAACGGCGTTTCCGTGTGCTGCTCTGGTTCGCCAGAAGCGGCTTAGTCATGCTGGCCAGATGACCCGGAAGCTGTACGCCAGATCCCTCAGCCAATAAAGCGAGATGAGCGCCACAACCCCAGAGTCGGTCACGACTGGACCTAATGGTCAGGGGTCCCTTTACCTTTACCTTTATCCTACTTTTTGCTCCAAGGATATTATTATTATTATTATTATTATTTATACCCTGCCCATCTGAGCAGCTCCCAACAGAATATTAACAGAATATTAAAAATAGAATTAAACATTAAAAACTTCCCTAAACAGGGCTGCCTTCAGATGTCTTCTAAAAGTCAGTTGTTTATTTCCTTGACATCTGATGGGAGGGCTTTCTACAGGGCGGGCGCCACTACCGAGAAGGCCCTCTGCCTGTTTCCCTGTAACCTCACTTCTCACAGTGAGGGAACCACCATAAGGCCCTCGGAGCTGGAGCTCAGTGTCTGGGCTGAACAATGGTGGTGGAGATGCTCCTTCAGGTATACTGGGCCGAGGCCATTTAGTGTGGCATATATGGTTCTCCCACTCTTCATGTAATCCTCACAGAAACCCTGCAAGGTACATTAAGGTTAGGCTTGCCCAAGGTCGCACAGTGAGCTTCATGCCCAAGCGGGATTTGAACCCGGGTTTCCCAGTTTTTAGTCGGACACCCTTGCCATTCTTCCACACTGGCTTTCCTACTCTTTCTTACTTCCTTTTCTCTGGGTTCCCTGGCTTCCTCTCCCTCAGGTTTCAAGGAAACGGCCTTCCTGTATGCGGTGTCCTCGGCAGCTCTGACCCATTCCCTCGCGCGGGCCTGCAGCGCTGGGCGCATGGAGCGCTGCACCTGTGATGACTCTCCGGACTTGGAGAACCGCAAGGCGTGGCAGTGGGGAGTGTGCGGAGACAACCTCAAGTACAGCACGAGGTTCCTGAAAAACTTCCTGGGCCAGAAGAAGGTTGGGAAAGACCTGCGCGCCAAGGTGGACATCCACAACACAAACGTGGGCATCAAGGTGAGGACAGAGGAACCTGTTGTAAACAAAAATGCCCTTTTCCCTTATGGGGTATCCAAGAGCCCATATAGAGTCCTTACATCGGTTCCCTATTGGTAGGAGAGAATAACAGAGGCCAACCAGAGAATATTGAGAAGCAAAGCAGCTAGTAAGCTTGATCTTTATTGATCTGTTGCAACAGGGTGCTCCCCTCGCCCGCAGGAGAGAAGAGGAACCCTGAAAAATGGCGTGCAAGGCCTTATAAAGACTTTTGAAATTGCAGCCCTGTAGATCAAGACCACCCCCAGAAACATCATACATACATCACAGAAGGGGTGTAACCTAAGACCACCCCTCAGATACATCATACATACATCACAGAAAAGGCAGTCTAAACAGAAATTTGAATGTTGTTTTTCTCCTGTCGTTGTTTATCTCCTGTCCGGCAGGTTACTTGATTGGATTGTCTGGGTAGCCTGGCCAGTCTTTTGTAATGATAAATACTTAGTTCCTGGGCCATGTCACAGGCTCATACCCTATTCAAACACAGATATACCCTTAAGACAGGATTTGTGAAGGAAAAGACAATGGGGAGGCTTTTCCATTTTCCTTTGAGCTTGCAGAGAAAACATTTGGTCAGTTTGGGAATCAAAATGGTTCCAGGTCGGTCTTCCTGTGCTGATCTATGTATGTGCTTGGTTGGTACACTTATGAACATTTAACATATATCTAAGACTTCAAAGTTCCTATCACAAACAACACAATTTGCCGAGAGAGAGAGAGAGAGAGAGAGAGAGAGGAGTAGCAAAAGCAGATTGTCCCTGGTTATCCCCAATCTCCAGCCTGCACCTCAAGAGCCAAGCTAGGCCCTGGAATGCCATATCTTTGTCCTTCCCTGAGAACTAATGTTCCATGCTGTGTGCCTTTCACAGTTGCACGGCACAGGTGTGTATTAAGCAATGGGACACTAGAGCTTTGCTTTGGAGAGTCCCAACTCTCTGCCTCAGAGGTGGGGAATCATTTTTCATGGTGAGGACAATGTTTACCACATGGGGAACCTTTCAAGGGACACATGCTAGTGGTGGGCAGGTTCCAGAAAAAGGGACACGTGGGCTTCGTACAGTTAGGTTGCACATGAACGTCCGAGGTTTTATTTTGTTTTACATCTGTTGAAAGCTGCCCAGAGTGGCTAGGGCAACCCAGCCAGAGTATGGAGGATAAAAACAATAAAATTATTATTATAAAGAGACAACACAAGAAATAAAGATAATAACAAAAATGGAAAAAATAAAGAGGATTTCCATTCAACTGTAAGTAGATTTTAAAAAAACAAATACAGTCATACCTTAGTTCTCAAACGGAATCCATTCCGGAAGTCCGTTCGGCTTCTGAAAACATTCAAAAACCGAAGCGTGGCTTCCGATTGGTTGCAGGATCTTCCTGCACCCAATCGGAAGCTGCGTCAGGACGTTCAGCTTCCAAAAAACGTTACTTCTTACTTCTCGGTTTGCGGTGTTCGTGAGCCAAAACGTTCGAGTCGCAAGGCGTTTGAGAACCGAGGTACAACCGCAAAAGAGTGTGCAGTTGTTCAGTGGCCTCGGGATTTCCGCCCTTTATTTCCTCACAGTGTTTTGGCTTTCCACTCGCGACCCTAGCAAATGCCTGTCTTTCTCTCCCTCCCGCAGGCCGTGAAGAATGGCCTCAAGACCACGTGCAAATGCCACGGGGTTTCTGGCTCGTGCGCCGTGCGGACCTGCTGGAAGCAGCTGTCGCCTTTCCACGAGACGGGGAAGCTCCTCAAGCTCCGCTACGACAGCGCCGTCAAGGTCTTCAGCGCCACCAACGACGCGGTGGGCCAGTCGGAGCTGGCAAGCCCCCAGCCCCACAACCACATGCCGAAAGTCCCCGCCGGCCCACGCCCCACCGACTTGGTTTACATGGAGGACTCTCCCAGCTTCTGCCGGCCCAGCCGGTACTCGGTGGGCACGGCCGGGAGGACGTGCTCCCGGGAGGCCAACTGCGACAGCATGTGCTGCGGCCGGGGCTACAACATCCAGACGCGCATGGTGACCTTCTCCTGCCATTGCCAGGTGCAGTGGTGCTGCTACGTTGAATGCCAGCAGTGCATGCAGGAAGAAGTGGTTTATAGCTGCAAGCAGTGAGACGCGGGCGCTGGCAAGTCTTGCGGGGAGACCAGCCTGCTCCTCCTTGGACCACACGGAAGGCCAGCAGCTCAACTTTGTTCTCTCCTTTGCATCGGGTATGGAAGTTCGCAAGGGGTGGGACTTGTAAGCTGCAGGAGTTCTGCAGCCCTGGATTTTACGGTTCTGTGGACCAGCAGCTTATCTCCAGGACTGCCTCTGCTGTGGGAAGGCTGGCACCAAGAAAAGAGTCAAGGACCTATTCCCGTAAGATATCTAAGGAGCTGCCTTGTGTTGTCCATCTAGCCTAGTCCAGGACTCTTGGCTGGGAGTGGCTGCCTGAGGTTTTGCGCAAGGGGTCTTCCTCAGCCAATTTTTCTAAATGGCAAATGAAACTGGAACCTGAGCTGTGCAGAGCATGGACCAAGCTGCCAGAACTTCTCTAGAGCAAGCTCCAAGGGTCTGTTTTAAGACAGGGGTCTTGAGTCGCAGCTAGCCCAGGAAGATCTGTTTCGATGAGCTTCCAGGAGGGTGAATGGATGGGTTTTCCACGGCCACAACGCAGCATTTTCTTTGAACCATGTGCCTCTTTCTGGGTAGCGCTGCAGCCTTTAGTCACAGCGCCAGCTTTGGCCGATGGCACCATCAGGCAGCTGCTGCAGCCCCGCCAGCAGGGCCCACTGCTGATTTCTACCCCAGTCCCCCTTTAGAGAAGCAGCAGAGCGCCTCCATTTAAAGCTCCCACAATGCCTGGCGTAACATCGCTTGAGGTCATTGTGATAAATCTAAACGGTTGCCCCTAGCCGGCCAGCGCTCGATTCAGACTTCTGTTGCTGCCAGGACTCAGTTGAGGTGTCTTATGTGAGAAGGCGTTTTATCGTGCCCCACCAAAATTTGGACCTGACCCTGCGTGGCCCCGCACGACCTGCTCAAAGGGGAACTGTACTGTGCACCCCCAGGGGTAAGCATGGTCTTTGGTTCTGCCCTGCAGTGAATTTGGGGTGGGTTGTGGGGCATCACGCCTGAGAAGGCAGAGATGAGGTGCTGCGTTCTTAAGGGACCCGAGGACAAAGAGGAGGAGCAGAGAATTCAGGAAGTGCGAATGGACGAAGGCCAGCACCTGCCTCCATTTTGTTAGGCTAAAATTTGGGGGAAGAAGAAAACTCTCATAGCTTGAATTTGCAAATAGAAGCATCTATTGGGCAATGACGGGGGGCAAACCTAGGAATGTGGACACTATTTCCAGTGGAACTATTTATAGTTGCGGGCGAGGGTAGATGGACAGGTCCACTTGTTTTTATGTGAAACGAGCAAAGAGTTAAGGCGGCTAAGGACTGGGCAGCTTCCACGACAGGTCTGTCTGTAAGCCTGGGTCAAACATACTTTCTTTCTTTCATGTGATTTTCTTGGTGTGTGTGTGTTTTTTAAAAAGAGTGTTTTATTGCATTGCTTAGATGCCGTTCATCATTCATTGCCCTCACAGCCCTTGGTCTCAGCTGCCCACAATACTGGTGTGGGGTTTTTTTTGGTCACTTGGCTGTAGCGGCTTGTGTGATCTTCGTTAGTGTCATGATGCTAAACCAGACGTGATGTCGCAGCAACAAAGGAATAAAATGGACCAAAAATCTAAAGTGACCCACCCAATATCTGAAGGAGGGAGCCAGTTTGATGCTGTTTTTACTTCGGCTTGATGCTGGGGGCTTTTTGGCCTTCCCTGAGGCGGAAGTAATAACTACCCATAGAAAACAACAGAGAAATCTTTACTTTTTGTGTAGCTGCGGTTGGGCGGTAATGTTGCTGCTCAGGTAACTAAAAAGATGGGAGTTTTTGTTTTGTTTTTTAAAAAACTTTGGTCTTATGTAACTTTTTTTTTAAAGGTTCATAAATATACATATATTTAAAATTATCCTTCCAATGCTAATAAAATCCATCATTGCTATCCCCATATCGTGGGGGGGGGGGAATGGGGGCTGTGGCTAAGGGAGCCTGGCTTACACCAGCCCTGCAAAGTATTAAAGTGATGGCCATATTGGGGGGGGGGGAGTGGGACAAGTGTATGGCGGCCTTTGTCGACTTGGCGTCCTCCAGGTGTTCTGCACTACAATTCCCATCAGCCCCTGCTAACACACTGGCTGACCTGGGAGAGTAAGGTTCAGCCTCCCTGCTCTGCCACAAAACCTTAATGCCAGCCATTCCCCTTCAGTTAACTTGAGAATAAAAGGAGAACTGTTGAACAAGAACGGGTTAAAAAAACTGTGATAGCTTGGATTTCGATGCTATGGAGGGAAATAATTTATCCCCTGCTTACTAAAAGTCCTACGCAAGCAATTCTTGTCAGATTCTCAGCTGGTCCCTTGCTGGGAATCCTAGTTCCCCCCAGCACCTTTGACAAACTACAGTTCCCAAAATTGTTTGTGCTTTAAATGCATGGTGTGTATGCGGCCTGGCGGTGATATAGAGAAAGTAGCGACACGTCAGCAGCACAGCTATAGGTGTTGTTGGCATCTGTATGTCTCAAGAGACAATGGAGTGTACCTCCAGGGGTGAAGTCAAACTGCTGTGTTAGCAGCATCGAAGTGACCTTCCTGGCTTGCAAGCCTAGACAGTGTGTCTTGATGTCCTGGGCTGCCCAGACGACAAGACCCCTTCTTGGCCTCGCTGATGGGGTCCAAAGGAAAACAGAGCAATACATTTGGCACCAGCTTTGTTGCAGGAGTTGCTGGAAGCAGTGGCGTAGCGTGGGTTGTCAGCACCCGGGGCAAGGCAAGTAATTTGCGCCCCCTAACCCGTGGATATGCACCCCCTAACCCGTGGATATGCGCCCCCTAACCCGTGGATTTGCGCCCCTAACCCTAACCCCCAGATGTTGCGCCCGATGCGGCCGGCTCCCCCTGCACCCCCACGCTACGCCATGGCTGGAAGGAGGCGTACAAGGCGCATCCAACCATCTTAGGGACTCTGGATTTTATTACGGTTTACTCCTTAGCCAGTGTGGTGTGGTGGTTAAGAGCGGTAGTCACGTAATCTGGGTAACCAGGTTCGCGTCTCCGCTCCTCCACATGCAGCTGCTGGGTGACCTTGGGCCAGTCACATTTCTTTGAAGTCTCTCAGCCCCACTCACCTCACAGAGTGTTTGTTGTGGGGGAGGAAGGGAAAGGAGATTGTTAGCCGCTTTGAGACTCCTGAAGGGGAGTGAAAGGCGGGATATCAAATCCAAACTCTTCTTCTTTTCTTCTCCTGAAGAAATCCCGCAAGGCAGTGGAGGTTTAGGACCAGAGTTTTCCTTCTTCTGGATGGGCTACCTTCCCAGGTTGACGTGTCCCATCTGTCTTCCCTCTACATCACGTGCAGAAACTGCCTTCTTGACCATTGGACCCACTATTGGTCAGGTCTGCTCGATCCACCGGAGCCTGTCTTCTCATGCAGGGGAAGTCCCTAAGTCACAGAGCGGTTGAGACCCATTTGCTACCCTCACCCAATTTAGCCAGCCGGTCGAAGCTGTTCCCAGGATGTGGCCACGGTCACATGCTGACAGCTTCTAGGAGCCACAGGTGAGAGCTGAGTGCAGGACCAATATACAGTGGTACCTCTGGATGCGAACGGGATCCGTTCCGGAGCCCCGTTCGCATCTTGAAGTGAACGCAACCCGTGTCTGCGTGTGCGTGGGTTGCGACTCGCCGCTTCCGCACATGCGCGTGACATCATTTTGAGCGTTTGCACGAGCGGCGAAACCCGGAAGTAACGTGTTCCATTACTTCCGGGTCGCTGTGGAGCGTAACCTGAAAACGCTCAACCTGAAGCATATTTAACCTGAGGTATGACTGTACTTAAAGATCAGGTGAAGAGATGGGGAACCTCAGGCTCAGGATCTAATAGTAGTAGTAATAGTAATAATAATAATAATAATAATAATAATAATAATAATAATTTATGCCACCCATCTTACTGGGTTGCCCCAGCCACTCTGTGCAGATCCCAACAAATTATAAAAAAACCACAGTAAAACATCAAACATTAAAAACTTCCCTATACAGGGCTGCCTTCAGATATCTTCTCATCAATCCCTTTGCAATCTCTATAGGTCATGGACCCTCCCAAGCCACAACCCTCACCAGCCCTGCTTTGCACCCTTAGGTCTCCCTGTGTACTGAGCTATCTAGGGGATGCAGGTGGTGCTGTAGTCTAAAACACTGAGCCCCTTGCTGATCAGAAGGTTGGCAGTTCGAATCCCCACGACGGGGTGAACTCCCGTTGCTCGGTTTCAAACCTGGCAGTTTGAAAGCACACCAGTGCAAGTAGATAAATAGGTACCACTGTGGCAGGAAGGTAAACAGAGTTTCCATGCAGTTTGGTCATGCTGGCCACATGACCTGGAAAGCTGTCTGTGGACAAATGCTGTCTCCCTCAGCCTGAAAGCGAGACGAGCGCCACAACCCCATAGTCGCCTTTGACTGGACTTAACTGTCCAGGGGTCCTGTCCCTTTTACTGAGCTATCTGCCAACACACACAGGAGCAGGTCAGATTATTCCTTCTGTCTTCCACCCCAGCCATCGCTCCTAGCAGCCCTGTTTGTGACCAAGAATGGAAACCTTCCTTTCTTTACAACAAGAGGTTCTCTGGATTCCATGTTGGGGACCGCATTCTACGTTCCAGGGGCCACTGGGGGTTTCTCTTTTAACCAGCACACAACTGCTGCATTTCTCCTGGCGATCACCCATACTCTTGCATTTGCCAAAGCTCCATCCTTAGAGCTCAAATCCCATTTGATGCAATGATAATCTCCACATGTTTGCCAGCTGGGCTCTAATTGGTCGTTATTCTCAACCACCCTAAGTACCCTGGCAATTATTAAGCATGAGCTGACCCATTATTTATGTGTTAATCCTTAAGGAACATTCTCTCCAAGGCTTCCCACGGGATTTGAGGACATTTGGCTGGTTTGTTAGATCAAAGGAGGATTGGGGAGGGGGAGAGCAGAGGAGGGACTTTTTTTATTTATTCTCCCGCCCCCACAACAATCTGCATACAGTACTAGAGCCTGCAGTGGGTCCATATGCGGAGAACAAGAGAATGGCTTGACCATCGCATCATGAAGCTTGTGGTGCTAAATAACTCCAAATGAGTCAAGCCGTGTGCAAGAGCTGGCTCACATGACTTTTGACTTGCCATGCTGCACACAACCTAGTGTGTGGTCTACCAGGTTGGTTTTGCACGTGTGCGGGGGGGGGGGGGAATGGTCCAGTGAGCTGTATATGCATACCCTCCAACATTTTTCTGATGAAAATAGGGACGTCCTATTCTATTATTATTATTATTATTATTATTATGGCACTCTGGGTGGCTTCCAACATATATAAAAATATAATAAAACATTAAACATTTAAAACAACACTTCCCTATACAGGGCTGCCTTCAGATGTCTTCTAAAGATTGTATAGTTACATATCTTCTTGGCTCAGGGGTCGCATCACTCCATACCCCCCAATATTTCTCTGATGAAAATTGGGATGTCCTATTCCATACTACAAGGGACGCGGGTGGTGCTGTGGGTAAAAGCCTCAGCGCCTAGGGCTTGCCGATCAAAAGGTCGGCGGTTCGAATCCCCGCGGCGGGGTGCGCTCCCGTTGTTCGGTCCCAGCGCCTGCCAACCTAGCAGTTCGAAAGCACCCTCGGGTGCAAGTAGATAAATAGGGACCGCTTACTAGCGGGAAGGTAAACGGCGTTTCCGTGTGCGGCTCTGGCTCGCCAGAGCAGCAATGTCACGCTGGCCACGTGACCCGGAAGTGTCTCCAGACAGCGCTGGCCCCCGGACTCTTGAGTGAGATGGGCGCACAACCCTAGAGTCTGTCAAGACTGGCCCGTACGGGCAGGGGTACCTTTACCTTTACTCCATACTATAGGGACACGGGTGGCGCTGTGGGTTAAACCACAGAGCCTAGGACTTGCCGATCACAAGGTCGGCGGTTTGAATCCCCGTGACATTGCTCGGTCTCTGCTGCTGTGAACCTAGCAGTTCGAAAGCACGTCAAAGTGCAAGTAGATAAATAGGTACCGCTCCGGCGGGAAGGTAAACGGTGTTTCCGTGTGTTGCTCTGGTTTGCCAGAAGTGGCTTAGTCATGCTGCCCACATGAGCCGGAAGCTGCACACCGGCTCCCTCGGCCAATAAAGCGAGATGAGCGCCGCAACCCCAGAGTCGGTCACGACTGGACCTAATGGTCAGGGGTCCCTTTACCTTTTATTGAGGCAGCACGGGGTGTTGAAATGTTGCACCCTTAACCATTATGCGCCCAGGGCAACCGCCCCTTTGCCCTGCCCCATGCTACGCCACTGTGCCTCAGCTCTCCACAAGGCTTTCTTGTCAAAACACTTGGTAGACGCCATTTTGGGGAGGACGTGGAAGGGGAAGCCTCAACAAGGCTCACACACAGGCCTTGATGGGACTTTTGTTTCATGACTCCCATTTGCGCAACCTTGCCGCCCTTGTTCTAGGCGGGACGGCTGGTAGAAATCGGTGAGATACACCTTTCCAACAGAAAATGGCGGAGAATATAATTATGGCTTCCATCGCGGCTCTGCTTTATGGAGTGGGTGGCTGGGTGGGTGGGGTCAAGCCTGGGGCGATGGGGGACGCATTAAAGATTAAATCAGAGATATGAAGAATAAAGGTTGACGGCTGGCGTTGCAGGTGGGAGCGAAAGGGAAGGAGTAAATCTGTTGGAGTGACTCCAGAACGGGCCAAGCCTTGGCCTCGCCAAACGGCTGATCTCCTACTTAGCTGCAGCCCCACACCTTAGATCGCTGAGCTGAACAGCATCTCGCCTGAGATGCCTGC